TAGCAGGCCCCCGGCCCTAATCGCACATTCCATCCAGTTCGCGAGGGCTGGGGAGAGGGGTAACACCCACCACCGGAAGGACACAGGAAGACTCCTTACACCGGGCAAGGGGTGGACACTAGCAGTCGACCTTGGGAAGCAGCTCCAGTTTCCCAGGGAGATAGTGGAAACGTCGTTGCGTCCAGATCTGGTGCTGTGGTCTGCTGCTTGCAAGGTGGTCCTGATGGTGGAGCTCACAGTCCCATGGGAAGGAGGACTTGAAGCTGCCCATGAGCGGAAGCGGGCCAAATACTCTGATCTGGCTGCAGAGTGCAGGGAGGCTGGTTGGAGGGCAGTCACATACCCTGTGGAGGTGGGGTGCCGGGGGTTCGTGGGCTCCTCAACCTCTCGTCTGCTCCGCGACATGGGTGCAACAGGTATAAGGCACCGGAAAGCCATGAAAGAGCTGGCAGAAGAAGCTGAAAGAGGAAGTTACTGGCTGTGGCTGAGAAGGAAGGCAAAGAATTGGGGTCCAGTCTCCATCTAGGGCATCAGCAGGGGGTGGCAGGGAGAAATCCCTGCCATCGCTCCGCCACCATGAGATGTACTGGGGTTAAAGGAGCGAAACATCCGTGACTGGTGGTCCCCAGCTGATGACCCATTAATGCCCTTTGTAGTGTTCCACAGCATGTACACCTGCAGTACACCTCAATCTCTTAGGCACCGGTGGAGGTGCGACAGGCAGAAATGCCCTGCAGGTTTCACCATCTACCTGTATGTTAAACTAATATCTGGTTTCCAGTGACTGCTGTGAAAGTGCAGTTGGCGGCCAGGAAAGACTGGCGGACGGCAGGAAAGTCTGCACTGGGAGTGGAAGGCTAGTCACCCAATCCACTTGTCCCCGTGGGGACACCCTTAACCTGACTACGAAAACGCATAAAGGAAAACAACCCGGCGGCCCTCCGAGAGGCGGGATGGAAGAAGGGCCAAATCGGACGGATTTCTCGGCAACGACTGGATCGAATATAGACAACGAGACTAAGAGGTTGAGGAAATGCAGGTGTGGGTGGGAGAAGAAGACCACGTTCAGAGGATTACGGATCCATCAGGGAAAGATGAAGTGTGTAGAAGAGAGTCTCCAGCAGCATTGCACTGCCGCACAAGCTGCAGGTAAGACAAGTGGCCTCCAGAGCCGGGTTACACACCACAGTGCTGAGGGATCCACAGCTGAGGAGAGGGAGCAGGAAGTAGAGGGAGGAGATCTAATTGTGGAGAGTGATCCTGTTGAGGGTGGTCTAGCGGAGAGCACATCATTTGGGCCTGATAACCAAGGGCCAGGTTGTAGAGGGGAAAGAAGAGAGCCAGGGCGGAGACAAGCGATCAAGTGGCCAAAAGCCAAGGAAGTGGCAGTGTGGCAAAATCTGGATGTGGATCTTAGTACCATTCTAGATCACTCACTTCGTGGCAACGTCGAGGCCAAGCTCAATCTCATCGGAGACATCTTGTATGAAGAGTGTAGAGGCAGGTTCGGAATAATCTCGGGGAAGAAATGCGCAGGCCCAAGGCCGAAAGGAAGGAGGGAACAACAGATTGAGCAGTTGGTGAAGAGGCGGCGCCAGCTGCGAAAGCAGTGGAGGAAAGCTGAGGAAGAGGAGAAAGAAGGTCTGAAATCACTGTGGAAAGACGTGAAGGAGAGCCTGGCTGGCTTGCGAAGGGCTGAGCGCATTCGTAAGCGCAGGAAACGAAAGGAGAAAGAGAGGAGTGATTTCTTCAAGAATCCCTTCAAGCATGCAAGGCAGCTGCTGGAGGATAGGAGGAGTGGGAAGTTGGAGACAACAAAGGAGGAGCTGGAAAGGCATTTCAGTCAGCAGCTCAGTGATGCTGATAGACTGATTCCTCTGGGTTCCCCGGGTATGTTCCTCGCCCAGCCCCCCCAGCTGTGCCCTTTAATACTGCACCCCCGAAACTCAGTGAGGTCGCAGATATCATTCGGAAGGCTAGAGCCGCCTCAGCACCAGGCCCCAATGGAATACCCTACAAACTGTACAAGCATTGTCCCGGTGTGCAGAGGATCCTGTGGAAACTCCTAGGAGCAGCATGGAAAAAAGAAGTTGTCCCCGTAGAGTGGCGGAGAGCCCTGTCTGTCCTCATTCCCAAGGAGCAAGACTCAAAGGATATCGACCAGTTTAGGAACATAGCCCTTCTAAACGTAGAAGGAAAGATATTCTTTTCCATCATGGCCAAGAGGATGACCTCGTTTCTTACGCGTAACGGATTTATAGACACCAGCTGTCAGAAGGCGGGCATACCAGGCTTTCCAGGGTGTGTTGAACATTCCTCGGTGATATGGGAACAGATTCAGAGGGCGAAGAGGGAGAAGGGCGATCTGCATGTCGTCTGGTTAGATCTTGCCAACGCCTACGGGTCTGTTCCCCACCAACTTATTACATACGCCCTGGACTTCTTCTATATCCCTGATCCTGTAAAGTATTGATATCCAGATACTTTGAGGACATCCAGATATGCTGCACACACGAAGACTTCACCACAAAGTGGCAACGACTTGAAGTTGGCATTGCCATGGGGTGCTCAATCTCCCCAATTTTGTTTGTAGCAGCATTTGAGATCATCCTCATTGGGGCAAGGCAGGTGGTTGGAGGAGTGAAGTTGCCATCAGGCCAAAGGCTACCCCACTGAGAGGGTACATGGATGACGTTACCACCATTCTCCAGACAGCTCCATGCACTGTGAGACTGCTCAAGAGGTTTGACGAACTTGTGGAGTGGGCAAGAATGAGAATCAAACCCTCAAAGTCACGAAGCTTGTCCCTTCAGAAAGGGGTCAGGAGTGACCGCACCATCTTTAGCGCTGGCGGTGAGGAAATCCCCTTGTTGTCAAGCCAGCCTGTCCGGAGCCTCGGCCGAACTTACTCTGCAGACCTTACGGATAAACAGATGGGGAACGCCGTGAAGAAGCAGTTGGCAGATGGCCTTTCCAGGATCAACCTCAGTCAGCTCCCAGGCAAATACAAGGTGTGGTGTTACCAATTCACACTGTACCAAAGAATAATGTGGCCACTCAAGATGAGTGAAGTTCCCTCCTCCACAGTGTGCAAGTTGGATAGTTTGGCAAACTCGTACATAAGGAAATGGCTCGGGCTACCAAGATGCCTTTCTGATGTAGGTCTCTTTGGCAAGACCAAGCTTCAGCTGCCCCTACGTTCCATCAGCGGGGGATATAAACAGGAGAAGGTGCGGTTGATCATGGAACTAAGAGAGTCCACTGACCCTCTGGTGAGAGCTGCGGATGCCCAGGTTCTAACCGGGAGGAAATGGAGGGCCAAGGAGGAAGTGGACCTGGCAATAAGTAGGCTGCAACACAGGGAAGTGCTTGGCAGAGTACAGGACGGCCGGGCAGGCGTCGGGTGGGGACAGGCCCCCCTCTTCTGGTCGAATGCATCCAAAGAAGAGAGGAAGGCAATGGTGGCAGCAGAGGTGATGAGAGCTGAACACGAGAGGCTTACCATCAAAGCAGTGTCCCAGGGCCAACAGGGAGGCTGGCTGTCGTGGGAAGGCGTTCTAGACAGGCAGCTGGCTTGGTCTGATGTATGGAAGATTCCTCAGGCCAGGCTAAGTTTTCTTGTCAGAGCAGCATATGACACCTTACCTTGCCCCCGCAACCTCCACCGATGGTTCGGCAATGAGGAATCTTGCCTCCTGTGCAGCACTGCTAATGCGAGCTTCCAACACATCATGTCTGGCTGCAAAACAGCGTTGGCACAGGGGCGCTACAGGTGGAGGCACGACCTGGTGCTGAAGAAGCTCGCTGAGGTAGTGGAAACATGTAGGCAGGAAGCGAATAGCAGGCCCCCGGCCCTAATCGCACATTCCATCCAGTTCGCGAGGGCTGGGGAGAGGGGTAACACCCACCACCGGAAGGACACAGGAAGACTCCTTACACCGGGCAAGGGGTGGACACTAGCAGTCGACCTTGGGAAGCAGCTCCAGTTTCCCAGGGAGATAGTGGAAACGTCGTTGCGTCCAGATCTGGTGCTGTGGTCTGCTGCTTGCAAGGTGGTCCTGATGGTGGAGCTCACAGTCCCATGGGAAGGAGGACTTGAAGCTGCCCATGAGCGGAAGCGGGCCAAATACTCTGATCTGGCTGCAGAGTGCAGGGAGGCTGGTTGGAGGGCAGTCACATACCCTGTGGAGGTGGGGTGCCGGGGGTTCGTGGGCTCCTCAACCTCTCGTCTGCTCCGCGACATGGGTGCAACAGGTATAAGGCACCGGAAAGCCATGAAAGAGCTGGCAGAAGAAGCTGAAAGAGGAAGTTACTGGCTGTGGCTGAGAAGGAAGGCAAAGAATTGGGGTCCAGTCTCCATCTAGGGCATCAGCAGGGGGTGGCAGGGAGAAATCCCTGCCATCGCTCCGCCACCATGAGATGTACTGGGGTTAAAGGAGCGAAACATCCGTGACTGGTGGTCCCCAGCTGATGACCCATTAATGCCCTTTGTAGTGTTCCACAGCATGTACACCTGCAGTACACCTCAATCTCTTAGGCACCGGTGGAGGTGCGACAGGCAGAAATGCCCTGCAGGTTTCACCATCTACCTGTATGTTAAACTAATATCTGGTTTCCAGTGACTGCTGTGAAAGTGCAGTTGGCGGCCAGGAAAGACTGGCGGACGGCAGGAAAGTCTGCACTGGGAGTGGAAGGCTAGTCACCCAATCCACTTGTCCCCGTGGGGACACCCTTAACCTGACTACGAAAACGCATAAAGGAAAACAACCCGGCGGCCCTCCGAGAGGCGGGATGGAAGAAGGGCCAAATCGGACGGATTTCTCGGCAACGACTGGATCGAATATAGACAACGAGACTAAGAGGTTGAGGAAATGCAGGTGTGGGTGGGAGAAGAAGACCACGTTCAGAGGATTACGGATCCATCAGGGAAAGATGAAGTGTGTAGAAGAGAGTCTCCAGCAGCATTGCACTGCCGCACAAGCTGCAGGTAAGACAAGTGGCCTCCAGAGCCGGGTTACACACCACAGTGCTGAGGGATCCACAGCTGAGGAGAGGGAGCAGGAAGTAGAGGGAGGAGATCTAATTGTGGAGAGTGATCCTGTTGAGGGTGGTCTAGCGGAGAGCACATCATTTGGGCCTGATAACCAAGGGCCAGGTTGTAGAGGGGAAAGAAGAGAGCCAGGGCGGAGACAAGCGATCAAGTGGCCAAAAGCCAAGGAAGTGGCAGTGTGGCAAAATCTGGATGTGGATCTTAGTACCATTCTAGATCACTCACTTCGTGGCAACGTCGAGGCCAAGCTCAATCTCATCGGAGACATCTTGTATGAAGAGTGTAGAGGCAGGTTCGGAATAATCTCGGGGAAGAAATGCGCAGGCCCAAGGCCGAAAGGAAGGAGGGAACAACAGATTGAGCAGTTGGTGAAGAGGCGGCGCCAGCTGCGAAAGCAGTGGAGGAAAGCTGAGGAAGAGGAGAAAGAAGGTCTGAAATCACTGTGGAAAGACGTGAAGGAGAGCCTGGCTGGCTTGCGAAGGGCTGAGCGCATTCGTAAGCGCAGGAAACGAAAGGAGAAAGAGAGGAGTGATTTCTTCAAGAATCCCTTCAAGCATGCAAGGCAGCTGCTGGAGGATAGGAGGAGTGGGAAGTTGGAGACAACAAAGGAGGAGCTGGAAAGGCATTTCAGTCAGCAGCTCAGTGATGCTGATAGACTGATTCCTCTGGGTTCCCCGGGGTATGTTCCTCGCCCAGCCCCCCCAGCTGTGCCCTTTAATACTGCACCCCCGAAACTCAGTGAGGTCGCAGATATCATTCGGAAGGCTAGAGCCGCCTCAGCACCAGGCCCCAATGGAATACCCTACAAACTGTACAAGCATTGTCCCGGTGTGCAGAGGATCCTGTGGAAACTCCTAGGAGCA